CCATGAGCATGGGCTTTGCTTGTTTATTCTGTGTCTGTGTTTGTCTATGTACATGCTAGGTATGAAAAGGCATATGGATGTTGTGGACGCATAGGGTTATTTTAGAAAGCAGAGTATTACATGTGCTCTAGCACAGATAAAGCAGTTCCATCACTGATAGCTCAGAGAGTTCATAGCAAGAGGAGCAGTCTGTCTTTTGGTGCTCGGAGAGCACCTTTCAAGAGGTGCTGCTGCTTCTGGTTGTTATCTTTCTTTGGTTTTGGTTTTCCCTAGAGGAAAACATTAGTTACACGTACAAGTTCAAAACCTTAGTGGTAACATTCTTGGCTTTTACCAAACTACCACCAGATACTCCTGAGCAACTGTCTTTCCTTTTGTGTTTGCCCTCCTTTCCCCATAGGCTGCTCTGTGCTGATGCTCCAGCAGTGGTGACAGTGAGGTGATGCTGCCAGTGTAATTCTCTACCACTGGGATGCCGAGTCAGCACCAGCACTTGAGTAGCTAGGGCAGAGTTGGTATTAAAAAGGTCAGTCAGGAAAACATTTTTCTTTGCCTTGAGGCAGTGCTTTGATTAGTGTTAACCCTTTTTTCTTCCCACATGATGCCTTCTCACCCGCTTTCCTTCCTGACAGCTTTGATGCAAAATCACGTTCAGAATGGAGTGCTGGTGATCATGTGCATCTCTGACCATTTGTGCTTGGCACCATGTGCTCTGAGAGTAAAATCTCTGTGTAGAAGCTTAGTAGGAAACCAGTGCATCAGAAATGGTTTGGAGTGCGGTGTAGCAATCCTTAGGTATTACAGTCTTGTAAACGGTAAAGTTTGTTTATTCAAATGCGATACCCTCTTTGAAGTTCTGTTCTCATCTATATTTGTATACTAGAAGGTCTGGCCTTCATTTAAATGATCCTTGGGGTTTTTTTTCCTACCACTTAAAAAAAAAACAACCCAACAGTGGGAAAGCCTTGAATAAGCTAATAGCGTTGCTAAGATGGAAATGATGAAGGCAGCTCAGGATTCCTGTTTGGTCCTCATGGGAAAAAGTGGTTTGAAATGCATGTGTGTGGGGGTGCACATTCCTAAAACTGTCATTTGTTTCCCCTGTTCCTCCTCCCTCCTTCATATTCTGTAATACGTACTATGGCATGTTTAATGAAACCAGTAGAAATATTTGGCTGAGAGTGTTAATCTTTCCCTGGCCCAATTAGTGCATGGCTTCTACTTTAACGTTAATGTGGATTTTTTTCGGAAGGCAGAACAATGAGCAGCTTTGTGCTACACATCAGGTTTTTCCCCTCCTTGCTTGTATTGTGTGTTTCTTCCTATCTATTCCAAAGGGAGAGCTCATGTGCAAAGACAGTGGAGCAACCTGGAGCAGAGACTTGTACCAGCTCCCAGGGGCCAGGACGTGCTGCTCTGTGCTTGTGTAGCCGCCTCTCGGCAGCAAGTCAAGTGACTGTGACTCTGAAGACTCATCATTTCTTCTTTCTTCTTCCTTCCCCTGTGGCCAGTGTTCTTCCTTTTTGCTTCATCCCTGATGCTCCCATTAGAAGGAGAAGCAGCTCTAACTGTTGAGAGTGGTCTTAAAACAAGAAAATTAAATACAAATAAATACACTTGAGTTAAGGGGGGAAGTAACTGTTGATGGGCTCAGCTTTAGCATTCAGCGGAGTCACACTTTATCCCAAAGGAGGAAATAGGTCTAGCAAGTGTCTTCCTGTACAGACTGAATGGGAAGCAACAAGGCTTTTTTTTCTTGTTTTAGCTCTCTGCTTTCTCAGTAACTCTCGCATTAGCTGGTTATATGGGGCATCAGGAGTGGGCCTCAGAAACAGGAGCTAAAGCCCCTCAGTTTCTCTCTAGGATCAAGGTTGCCCCAGTTTCATAGTTTCAGCAACATCATCAGGTAGAGGAGACACTGTCCTGCAGAACAGCCAGGTCCCTTGGTGTTGTCTGTGAAAATAGAACTGCTGCATTGTTTTGTTTGGTCCTGTTGTTTGTCTCCCCACCTTGCCATATATTAGTGCTCTTGTTCTGTTGCTTGCTTTCTGCTTTTCCTCCTTTTCACAGAGGATAACTGTGTCACCAGGGGGTTTCTTCAAAGTAGAAGATGACTTGAATGCTTGTGACTACTTCCCTGTTTCCTAGAGGCTTTGGTCCAGTGTTGAATGCAACTTGAGGCTGCACTGTTTGCCAGCTTATTTCCTCTTTGTCCTCTTTCCTGGAGGTCTTTGTTTTCTTTTGGAGAGAGGGAGGAAGAAGGCTCCATCAGGATGATCTACAAGCAGGGACATTTGGTGTGAGCTGAGAAGGCTTGCAGTCCTGAAGGCCGCATGGCAGAGGGCATCTGTGTTGGTTGCTGCCTGTCTGATTCCCTGAGTTTCTTAGGTGCTGTGGGAAAAAAAACTCACTTCCCCATCCTTAGTGATGCATTTATTTAAAGAAAGAAAAAAAAAAGGCTGCAAGAGAAATCTCTCAGTATGTTCCTGCCTAAAGGCACTCTGCCATGGGTTTTCCCACAGGAAGGAGTGATTTGGCCCAGTATTCTTATTGTTTCTATATCCTATTGCAAATAGAAAGTTATGCTTCTGAAATCAGTGTGTGCTGCTCATGTAGTTGTCTTTGTTTCAGTGGTGCATTTCTGCTTCATGCAAGAGATTAGAAAATATGTATGTAAAGAAAAGCATGTAACAGTAATAATACCTGGTAAGGCTTTTGACTGCTTCCAAAGTAGGAGATTTTTGATGTACAGAAAATGGTTTTAAGAACAAGATCTGTGACTATACATCTTGGTTTGCGTTAGCAGGAAGATTGTAAAATAACTGTTGGTTCATAGAAAGTATGAAAGCCTGTAATAGCACAATACATAGTTTTCTTCCTGAAAGAGTGGAGAACAAGCTGGCAGATGTTCCTAAACAGGAGGTAGGTTTGTTTATATGTTCGTGTGTTCATTCCTTTTCTATGTGAGGAACAGTTCCCATTTTCACTGTTGCTAAATGCAGCACTAGGAATTCTGACTCTAGTTCTCTGGGAAGCTCCTCAGCTACCTTGGCCAACACAGGAGTCTTCATGGTTGCACAATAGATTTTCTTCCTGGATGAATCAGTAGTGACGTTAATGTCCTAGGTATTGACTGAAAGAGGAATGAATAGGTCTGCTTTGGAAAGAAGAGTTATTTTGTTGTGTTGGGGTTTTTTTAAGCACTTAGTTGCATTGTTTTAGCGGAAATCCCTCCAAATAATTTAAACTGGTCCTTATTCTTGGTGGTACTAAGCAGATACAGCAAGCAACTTAGAAGATTTGGCCACTCTTGAATGTAATTCTGTTTATTCTATTTAAAATTAAGTCAGCTACCACATAAATGGCTAAAAGAAGATACGGGGTGGAGCAGGAGAAAGAAAAGAAATAGCTATGTTGTTCTTCAATGAGATGGACCTTTCTTTTTAAGGACAAAAAAATAAAATAAGCATGTCCCATAATTACTGGAGAAAATAGTGAAGGATGGGTGCTTGGCCTTGCCTTGGATCAAAAAGTCCCTGTGTCACAGGGACCACTAGTGTTTTTTTCAGAAGAAAAGTAGAAAAAATACTAGGGAAGAGTTACTTTGAGTTGTTCAGGGTAGCATAAAAGTAGTCTTTCTGCCTGGTTTTGAAGATGCAGAATGAAAGCAGTGTTTGTTAACAAGTTGGTGTTGTTAGCCTTAGACACAGGGCTTAGTTGGATCCCAGGTTTTGTCTCTTGACTGTGCTAGCTCTCTTATGTCAAATCATCTGTGTGCTGCTTCTAGGAGGGTCAGCAGTTAAATGTAGGAAGCTTGAATATGCTGCTTTGTCTGGCATTGTGTGAAATAAGGAGCTGCTTGACACAAGCTGGGCCCTTTCTCTTTGTCTGCCTTTTCTTGTGTGCTTTAAAATGTCAGTAGTTGGGATGATGTAGTCATTTATTGTTTGCAAATGCTGTTCAAACAGCATCTGAAGATGTCTTATGTGACTGAATTGCATGTCATCCTGGAGAATATGTTTTTTTTTAAAGAAAGAAATCCTGTTGAGTTAACCACAGTTTGAGGCTGATGGCCTCTGCTTTCCGAAAAAAAGGAAAACCTGTATGAAGTTTGCTGAATTTGTAAATCTGAGGTGATTAAATGCCCCCAGCATCTTCATTTCCATGGCTATTTTACTTGTAAGGTTATAAAGGTGTACTTGTCTATTAAAATGTATCAGTAATTTTCCATATTACAAATAGCTTTTTCCAGAGGCTATTACTGTGGGTGCCATGCAGAGAACTCTCTTCCTCATGGTTGATCATTCCCCGTCACCTCTAAAAATGATGTTTAACTGCCCTGTCGTTCCCCAGCCAGAACAGGCATCCTTCCTGAAACCCCAGCGATAGCATGATAAGTCTGTGGTTTCAGAAAGGGGTGTGGTGAAATTCTGTTGGCACATATGGTGGTTGCTTATGTCTTCAGCTCATCTGGAAGCCTTGGGCAGTGGGTGCAAGGAATGTGCCAAATGGCCCCAGAAACCTCAGTAGTCATTTCACCAGTGCTAGAAGGAAGAAAAAGGTCACCATGAATTCACGTGCTGGAGTTCGTCCTCCGAGAAGGGGGGAGGAGTGTGTGTGTGTGTGTGTGTGTGTGTGTGTGTGTGTGTGTGTGTGTGAAATTGAACTACTTAAATTCTCTAGCTGCAGAATATTCTTCCAATTTCTTAACCAAATGTCATGACCATCAGTGATTTTACTGTCTGAATACTGGGGACCAAGCCAGTAAGGTTTTTTTCCTTTCTTTGTCTGCCCAGGTTTCACCACTGGCAGAGGCAGCAGCATCTCCCAGCCCAGTGCCTGGCCACTTGTGGGAGTAGGCTGCGCTGGTACTATTTACATGCTTCATCAGACTTCATATAGCAGTCAGGGGAGCCCTCAAACTAAAGGACTGTAGTCTTATTTTTGCTGAAATGGCTTCCAGAAAAACTTACACTCCCTTTTTCTTCTTCCTCACACAGTGCTAGAGGGTGCTGCTGAAGAAGAGGCTGAAGAGCCAGACGCTACTATACATGCTACACTAAGTGAGGAGACCAGCAACCAAGAAGAGAGCCCCAGTCAACCAGGGGACAAAAATGAAGGTAACTGGTTTGACTAGCTCTGTTTGACTGTGTAAAATTAGGGCATTCATTAAGGCTTGTAGAAACATTTCCATACCCCTAATTTATGTGACATGTATAAGATACATTGAGCAGAAGCACTGGTGCATACATTTCTTTAGCCATCCATAACCTTTATAGAATCGTAGAATCATAGAATAGTTAGGGCTGGAAAGGATCTTAAGATCATCAAGTTCCAACCCCCTGCCATGGGCAGGGACACCTCGCTCTAAACCATATCACCCAAGGATTTGTCCAGCCTGGCCTTGAACACTGCCAGGGACGGAGCATTCACAACTTCCCTGGGCAACCCATTCCAGTGCCTCACCACCCTAACAGGAAAGAATTTCCTCCTTATATCCAATCTAAACTTCCCCTGTTTAAGTTTGAACCCATTACCCCTTGTCCTATCACTGCAGTCCCTAATGAAGAGTCCATCCCCAGCATCCCTATAGGCCCCCTTCAGATAATGGAAGGCTGCTATGAGGTCTCCATGCAGCCTTCTCTCCTCCAGACTGAACAGCCCGAACTTTCTCAGCCTGTCTTCATAGGGGAGGTGCTCCAGTCCCCTGATCATCCTCGTGGCCCTCCTCTGGACTTGTTCCAACAGTTCCATGTCCTTTTTATGTTGAGGACATCAGAACTGCACACAGTACTCCAGGTGAGGTCTCACGAGGGCAGAGTAGAGGGGCAGGATCACCTCCTTCAACCTCCTTTTGATGCAGCCCAGAATCACGCTCCTTTTGATGCAGCCCAGGATACGGTTGGCTTTCTGGGCTGCAGGCGCACACTGAAGCCGGCTCATGTTCATTTTCTCATTGACCAGCACCCCCAGGTCCTTCTCCACAGGGCTGCTCTGAATCTCTTCTCTGCTCAAACTGAAGCTGTGCCTGGGATTGCTCCGACCCAGGTGCAGGATCTTGCACCTGGCATGGTTAAACTTCATGAGGTTGGCATCAGCCCACCTCACAAGTGTGTCAAGGTCCCTCTGGATGGCATTCTTCCCTCCAGCGTATCAACCGAACCACACAGCTTGGTGTCATCAGCGAACTTGCTGAGGGTGCACTCAATCCCACTGTCCATGTCAGCGATGAAGATGTTGCACAAGACCGGTCTCAACACCAATCCCTGAGGAACACCACTCGTTACTGGTCTTCAGCTGGGCATTGAGCCATTGACCACAAGTCTTTGCATGCAGCCATCCAGCCAGTTCTTTATCCACCGAGTGGTCCATCCATCAAATTGATGTCTCTCCAATTTAGAGACAAGGGTGTCGTGTGGGACAGTGTTGAACACTTTACACAAATCCAGGTAGATGACATCAACTGCTCTACCCCTCTCCATCAGTTCTGTAGCCCCATCATAGAAGGCCACCAAATTGGTCAGGCAGGATTTCCCCTTAGTGAAGCCATGCTGGCTGTCACCAAGCACCTTGTTGTTTTTCATGTGCCTCAACATGCCTTCCAGGAGAATCTGCTCCAAGATTTTGGCACAGAGGTGAGACTGACTGGTCTGTAATTGCCCGGGTCATCCATTTTCCCCTTCTTGAAAATGGGGGTTATATTTCCCTTTTTCCAGTCACTGGGAACTTCACCTGGCTGCCATGATTTTTCAAATATGATGGACAGTGGCTTAGCAACTTCATTTGCCAGCTCCTTCAGGACCTGCTGATGGATTTCATCAGGTCCCATGGACTTGTGTATGTTCAGGTTCTTAAGATGGTCTCGAACCAGTTCCTTTCCTAGAGTGTGTGTAGGGTCTTCATTCTCACAGTCCCTGCGTCTGCCTTCCAAGACTATCTGTCTGAAAAGTGTAAAATTGGTTAGCAGAAGCATGGGCACATGAATGCTCAGCTACCATTACTTCCAAACTAAGATTTTCTTGGCTCCTGGTAACTTGGCACCACATTACTTAGCCTCAAAAAACACCTGTTTATAATACTCAAGCTTATCTTCCAAAGACAGTATTATGCAGAGATCAAATGTTCACAAACATGTTCCTCCTTGTTCACCCTCACACCCTCTTGTGTTTCAGCGACTTTCTCACATCACACATTAAGATTTTTTGCTCTCCATCAGAGTTGACAGAGCAATAGACTTGCAGGGTGTTCCTGTTTGTTTGGGAGACTTCTTTTTGGGGAGCAGAATGTTCAGTTTGAAAGTATTTCCCTTTTCAAAGTCATAAAGAGGAAAGTGGAAGGCCTTAGCTGTGTGTTTGACACGTCTGTATGTTGAGAAGCTGGAGATGAGATTTTAGGTGTATTTTGAATTTGTTGGAATCCTTGCTACATACAGAGTGTGATGGAGAAGTCTGAATCTGAGCAGCTTTAGCAGTGGCATTATTTCTGGATGTAGTACATATGCTCCATGGACTAACATGGTTTTGAAGACCAAAAAGAAAAGAAATGTAAATAAATGCCAGCTGTGGTAGTAAAGAGGCATTTGGGGTGAATTTGGTGTTTTGTTTTGTTTGGGTTTTTTCTAAGTTAGCTTACTCCATATACAGAGCTGGATTAAGCTATACTATAAGGAGGATCCAGTATCCTATGCTGTGTTGCTAATGCCTTAATTGAGCAGTTCTGTTCAAATAAGTGCTTGCTTGAGCAATTGTGCTTGCCAGAGCATGCATTTATCTGTACTGCTGTACTAGTTCATGGTGATCACAAGGTACCACAAATAGTACCATTTTACAGCGAGTGTGTATCACTCTATAAGCCCCAAACTGAATTAAAGTTGAAAATGAACATAACATGCAGGTCGTATGAGAAGGTAATGTAGACCTTGTCTTATGCTTTCCAATACAAGAAACTTCTCTTGTTACAAGAATTGCAGTTATTATGGGCTGTCACCTGTACTCCGTGATGATCCAGTAGAGTGTGATACAAGTTACAGGCATCTGGAAACAATGTGGGGGTTTGGGTTGGTCTTATTTTAGATGGCATAGAAACTCCTATGTGTGTTTTTAGTTCCAGAGAAGCAGTTGGAAAGCTTAAGCAGCTACCAGGTATCACCAAGCCCACCAAACAGTTTGGACGGAGCAGACTTGTCCTCCATTGACGCCATGATGTCAGCAGTGATGAACGTGGGGAAGATTGCTGAAAATGGCGGGAGCTCTCAAAATGTCAAATCCCCTTTGAAGTCTCCTGCACCAAATCGGATTGGCAGGAGAAACCAGGTATGTAAACCCACATGTGGGGTTTGTAAACCCAGAAGGATGGCAAAAGGGAGACAACTGCATGGGAAGTGAGAAGACATAATGATGTTCTTTGACTGTTTCGCCGCCTTCTCCTTCAGCGGGTATTTCTTGCCTCCACCATTGCTCCCCTGTGTATATTTTCTGGTGGCTCTCCGGAACATAACTTTAGAAAACTGGGAATCAAAAGGGTCTGCTTGCTTGCATTCACACATAAAACATTTAAGCATGAGCTCTTGTATCATGCAGTGGCAAAGCCACCTAAGAATTGCCCCTTCTTCCCTGATGCATCCTTTCTTCAGGCTCTTGCATTGACTTCATCTGTTGGGGGACCAATTATTTCATGAAACTAGGGAAAAAGAAAGTTGGAGAGAAGCAGAGCAGTGGGGCAGGAGGCTTGGTACTGCCATCATTTGGGACCCCTCATGAGGTGTGTGGCTGTCCCTGGGGAAGATTCAAGCGATGGAAGATTAAAGGTGGTACTAAAACAAAACATCCATCGAGACACTCATTTCACAGGTGCATAGTCTAAGATGCCCTTTACTTCATTGTTAACAAAATTATGAAGAGCTACTGCAGAATGCTTTGTACAAATCTTGCAAAGCAAATATATGTAGCTTTTATCATTTTTTTTTCTATTTACCAGTTGATGGCACTAGTTGGTAGCAGTATTAATCTAAAATGAGAGAGTCGTATCAGTTAAATCTGTGATTATTTATATCCATGCTTTTCTCCTGCTGGGCCAAGCCCCTACCAATGAAGGTGCTGCAGCCTATCAAGAAATTCATGTGTCCGTTTGACTTTAGAGCTTGCAGTGAAGCATGGAAAATTTATAAATGAATCAAGATGTAACAGGGACCAGAAAGGTTGAGAGGCCTGACTCATGTGATGTTCCTATAGTAGTTTATTAATAGCTTGTCGAGTAGCTGCCCAGTTGACGGACTTATGATTTGTCTTGGGTGTTTTTTTTTTCTTGGAAGGAGTTAAAAGCCATAAACTATAAACGAACATTCTTAAATGAAGAGCCTGGGCAGTATACGAGCAACTGTGTGGGACTGTATTGTCTAACACCTGGCTTTAAGGTTTATTTGCAGTGTTCTCACTCAGGGGCTGCCCTAGTTCCTTGATTTCGTCATGTGAAGTGAGGCACTGGAGTTCAGACTAGTCTCAGTAGCAGTGCTGTTACACAGCCGTCCGCCAGTACACCATGTGGTTTGGCTTCAGAGAAGTTTATTAGTGTTAGTGACCTTTATTCCACCTGATATTTCGATGGGCATCGAATCAAAGGAAGCTTGAGAGTAAATGTGACAGGATTAAGAGGGATTCTTACAGCGTAAAAATAAACAAATACATTGAAAACATTGTAAATAGCCTATTTGTTTTTAGGCTGAAAGGTCGTTATCGCCAGAGGGGCAAATAGCTACACTGCTGAGAAAATAGAAGTGAGATGTGAAATATTAAGTGGGTATCAGTCTGGTTAGCGAGTTCTAATACAGCAAATTTCCACTTCCAGTATAGCAGAATGAAAGCACTGGATTGTTTCATTGTGTAGCAGAACACAGATCTCAGATTCTGGTCAGAATGTGCCCCTTATTATAATTTCAAGGATAATAACAGCTAGTTTTCTGGGCCTGACTGCTGTTTCCCATGAGTTGGCAGTGAAACATTTTTCCCTGAACCTTTGTCCCAAAGTCTATGGTTCTCTTTATAATGCTGACTTTATCTTGGCTGTAGTCTACCCATGGTCTAATAAACATGTTCTCACATCAGCCTGCATCCACTTTAATTTCTCATTTACTTTGCTCTCGAAGAAAATAAAAAGTGTGATAAAGGGATTTCTTTGTGCTGGATTAAAACAAACAGACCTAATGCACAACTGCAAAAGCATTTACCATGAGTTGAATGCAAAGCAGTCGTGCCAGCTTGACTTACTGGAGGGAGAATAGCTAACAAATTAGCTGCTAATTCTGTCTTCCAGTTCAGGAAGTGTGTTTTCACCAACCTGGCTCCAGTGGGGTAGCCAAGTTTTAAATGTTTTAAATTTGTGAGTGGGGGTGCTTTTACAGTAGGGATGCTAATATTTTTTTTGGTCTGAATTGGGTCAGTCAACAGCATTCCTGTTGTAGCTACCCTGGATTTGCTTGAGCTGTGTTATGGTATGCGGCATGTACCCTGTGTGACCATTGGAGAAAGTTTGGGTTTCAGTTAATCATAAACCCCAGGTTCAATACTAATCAGCTCTGGCTGAGCTATAGTGTGTTTCTGATCTTTGCTTCAAGGTGAACCAGTAATTACTCTATCTTCTGTTAATTTGATGATTTGAAGAGCAGGCAGTCTAGAAAGCAGGCTTTGAAACAAGTGCATTCTATGTAGAACTGCAGCACTTGGGTAAGGGGGGGGTGTGTGTGCAAATAATAAAAGTAGTAGGTTGATAATTTCATAGAAATACCCGGGGGATTAAACACCATCTAAACTGTCAGCACAGCTGCAGGGATTTTCCTCATGGCACAGTGTGTTTGTTCTCTGTCCTGAGCCAACTTTTAACAGGGTTGCAGTGTAATTGGAGCTAAACATTACTCCACAGAAAGGTGGCATATAGTAAAATCAAAGTTGTATAAGTAAGATGGAATGAGTGTGTGCAAATTATAGGTTTGTATATAAACAGGATGGGGGGGCACTAAGATAATGAATTGGAAATTTCTTGGGATGTTCAAACTTCATAATGGCAGCCTTTCTTGCTTGCTTTCTAATGTTTTGCAAGTAAATAGTACATTAGGCCTTGGCCTGTTTGCATGGGCTACAGTGATTACCTTTAGGATGGAGAGCCCTGAAATAGAGTTAGAAAAAGATGTACATGAGAAATGGTGGGGAGGAGTGGGAGAACCTGGTTGTTTCAGTCCCAGTACTTTTAGAAGTGAAGTCACAAGTTTTGTTTGCTTCATGCAAAATGGGAAAATAACTCTTCATCCATGTCCACAGGTCACTGAAGTTAATAAAAAATTATCCTGGAGCTGCTTTTGAAAGCACAGTGTTGGATTTTAATAGGGGTCTCTATAGAATGGTTCCCCAAGTCATATAGGAGGTGATAATTGCTTTTTTGAGACTTAAAAATGCTTTCTAGAACACTGTGTCAGCATCTTTCCTCAAAACATGCCAGATAATTTGTCACAGAGACCTGGGTTAGTCATTCTTAATATTCACCACAAATGCTTGTGTCTGACAGTCTGGAAATGGTTGCTTCTGGGTTGATAACTTTTGGGATGGCAGAGGAGGAAAGGAAAAAAGTTGTGTGGAGAGAGGAAAAGCATAGATACATGCATACCCATCAACTCCCTCCCAAATAAAGAGCTACTGCTAAAGAGCTAAAGCTTCATTTTTTGCTTGTTTTCATGATTTTACTAATGATACTTAAAATAGCCAGCAAAGAGGTCCAGTCGAACATGTCATTTTGGCATAATTGCTATACTTCCCTATCAGTCAGTCAGAGATGGTTTTTGTACTCTCTTGTCACCAGAAGTGTAGTTAACAGGCAATTAACAGGTTCTGTCTAGGTGGTGAATATTTGCATCATTCTGCAGAAAGCTGAGATTTAATTTTCAGCAGCTTTTAATATAATGGCTTTGGTGCAGAAGCTGTTCCTCTGCTTCTTAGTGAGGTGGTGAAAACTCCCTTTATGTCACGCAGTAGCCATCCTTGCTGACAATTCAGGCAAATGCCTTTGGTTCCTGCAAGAGTGCCATTTCATCCTTGGCTGAAAGAGTGGTGGCTTTGCTCGGTGTCTCAAGGGCATACTTAAATCAGGCTGAGCTCTCGGATTGGCTTCATAGTTTGTACTCGTGGTTTGAGGATGGTTACTCCTGCTTCTCACCTGGGTGGAGAATAACCGGGTTCATAATGTGTTCGTTTTGAGTCACGTACACTCCTGCATTGTCACCTCTTTCTCGCTATGATCTCATCAGATCCTGCAAGCTTGTGAAGGGTTGGGCCTGGCTTGTGTGCCTGGATGGGATGCTTCCAGGAGAAACACAGGATGCTAAGGGAAATGGTGCTGGTGATTCAGTAAGCGCTGCTCTTCCTTCTGAGTCAGCCACAGAGCAGAAAACACAGCCCCTAGAGAAGGGCACTGAGCTAGTGTCTTGCTGTTGAGATAGGGTGGAAAACCTGAAGTCCCTGAGATTTATTCTCATTAAAGATCTTTTGGGAAGATTAGTGGCATTTGCTCACATATTCTGGCAGTATTCCAGGGATTGCTTTCTGCTCACCTAAATTTCTCCTGGCAGTTTGAGCTGGTCACAATAATTGCCTTCACTTCCTGTCCTAAACTGCTACTGCTGAGTATCCGTGTGCTGTTAAAGCAGCTGCTGAACTTCTGCAGTAGTTGAAATGGCCCCTATTTATAAATTCAGAAGTTTCTGAAGCTTCCATGAGGGGTGTAGCAGGATGATAAACATACATGTACAAGCTATTTTGTTAGCAGCAGTGGCCTTTTTATACTCACAATGGGTGATTTTTCCATCCCCAGCAGTAACAGCTTTTGAGTTCTTTTATGTCAGTATTCCTCCTGATTTTTTTTTGTTTTGTTTTGTTTTGTTCACAGGAAATAAAAGAAGAGAAGTCTTCCTATACCTGTCCTCTGTGTGAAAAGATTTGCACTACACAGCACCAGCTAACTATGCACATTCGTCAGGTATGCAGAATACTGATTTCTGACTGTTAGTAAGAGCGTCTGGTTTGCCAGGATGCATTTTGGAGTTGTAAAAAACAATTTCATATGCAAACCAGAAATGTTTCCAGTATAAGTTTGTTTTGCTTTTCTTTAAGCCTTCCCCTTGTATTTTCTTTAAGCCTTCCCCCCCAAACTGAACCCAAAGGTGGGTACTCCCCTTCCTTCCCCAACACTAACCCCCATCTTCGCTCAAACAAGGATGTATGTCCTGTTCTGAGTAGCGTAAGGTATCCCAAGGATCCGGAAAACCACTTCCATCATGAGGCACAAGTCCTGTTTTGTTATCCTGTTTGAGTACAGATCTCTTTACTGGTCATGCAAATTAAGAAGCAGGAAGGAACAATTTTTAAGTCCTCTCAGTGTAGGAGAGGCTCTCAGTCCTTCTGAGGGTCTAGCATCTAATTCTGCCTCACAATCTTGGGAGGCAGAATTAAAAATACGCTTTTTAAACAGGGGATGCACATTTTTGTCAGCTACAGGCCTTTTCTTACTCCTCTTGAAATATATGCATGCCTTATAAGGAGGTTTGGCCTTCTCTGTGCCAGAAGGTTCTGCTTTGGGTGCTGAGGCTGTCGTTCACCACTGTGAGTCCACAAGATCCTTACTACATCAGTTCTCCCTCCTGTATTGTAACCCTTATTTTATTTTATTTTATTTTATTTTATTTTATTTTATTTTATTTTATTTTATTTTATTTTATTTTATTTTATTTTATTTTATTTTATTTTATTTCTCTTATTTTTTACTCTCCTGGCTGTGTTTTTTTGTTGTTGTTGTTTGTTTTTGGGGGGGGTTTGTATGTGGAGAAATCTTCAAGTCTCTGAATACAAGAAAGAAAGAGTGGTACATATAGCACAGCAGCTAATGGCCATTATTACTTTATCTTTCCTTTTTCCCCCTTAACTACTCACCCAACCCCAAGCCACTGCACAGCTCGAAGTATCCCAAGGTACCATTAGTCTGATGGGTTGTTTCTGAGTCCCTTTCTAGCTCTTCTGCTGCACACCCAGCAGAAATGCTACATGTGGCAGGCATTGCAGGCTGTATGAAACAGCTGTTCATGCTTGTGCATTAAGTAGTTAAAAATGAAGGGTAGGGGTGGAGTTGGGGGGGAGGGCTGGGAAGGAGTGGTATATACAGAGCACGCCTTAATATAAGGTGTTGTGCCTAGTGGCTTTTTAAAGCTGCTTTTTAAATGTTGTCACTAATATTTTACCGGCACTTCAGAAAGGGCATTCAATGAAAAAAAATTGTTGCTTTCTCTAGCATAACACTGACACTGGAGGGACAGACCATTCCTGCAGCATCTGTGGAAAGTCTCTGAGCTCAGCGAGCTCCCTTGATCGCCACATGCTGGTGCACTCAGGTGAAAGGCCTTATAAATGTTCAGTATGTGGACAGTCCTTCACCACCAATGGAAACATGCACAGGTGAGTGCTGATTGTGATCCAGGAGTTTGGAAAGAATCTAAGGACAGGAACTCTTTTGTTTCCTTCGAAGGACTTGCAAGCTAACCAAAGACATTTACTTGAGGAAAAAATGTGGAGCGTGTGATCTGCAAGTGTGGTGTGACATGCACACACACTGCACCTATTGGGATGCTTAAGTTGTTGGAGGAAGTCAGAATTGAGAAAGGTCTTCTAGCTCTCTTCACATACTATCAAGGGTTACTACAGATATCCAGGAGTAATGCTTTTTTGTTTTTATTAGTAGTATTACTGTTATTTTGACAAGTGGGATGTTTTTTTTTCAGAGGACAAAAATATATAGCCAAGCCATATAGAAGCTTCTCATTTTGCAGCTTCACAGTCATAGGTGAAAGTGGTTGTATTGGAACATTTGTGGTGCTGTTGCATGTTATATAGTTAGGTATCCAGGAGCCATCATGAAGAGGATGCTTTTTCAGAGTAATTGATCTTGTTTCTAAATGCATACATCAGTACTTGCTTCTGCTGTAGACAACTTACTGTACTGTAGATCCATGAAATTCTCTGTAACCGAAGTTGCCAAATATATTTAATGTAGTTCCCTCCATAGGCATGTAACAATATGTACAGTTGTCAACTGGGGAAACAAAATGTTAAATTACATGGATGTGCCTTCCTCTCTCTCATCCCCCGATTCAGTATTCATGCATTTGCATGGGTGGAACACCTTGGAGCTGATTAAGACTTTGAGAAGTCCCACATAGCTGTAGTCCCCATATCAAAGAGCTTACAAACTAGAAAGAAACTGCAAGAGAGGTGGAGGAAAGGAATATCACTTATAAACAAGATTGCCAGAGTGATGGTTCTGTGTGGGAGGGAAAAAATCTTGTTTCCTTGATTATTGCTAGTCATTTTTCAAGCAGTGTGTTACAGATGGAATGAAAAGGGTGATTTCAATGACAATGGGAAAGATAATGTAATGCCGTGCAAAGGAAGCAATAGCTGCTTGCAGATTTACCTTTTCTGTATCGTTTTGTCCAGCTTAAACAGTTACATGAAAACAGAGGAGAAATGGGAGGGAATGCAATTTTGGAATTCCATATTTATTTAACTTTTACTTGATTGGAATTGAGGAGAATCGGAGAGAGAGACGTAAAATGAGAAGGAAAAGACAAAGATGTTTGGAGGAGATACTGGCCTTGAGCACTGAATGAATCACATGTCTGACTCATCTGACCAGAGGTGTTGCAAGCCACATGTTTGCCAGACTGGGTCATTACTCTTGTCTGCCATGAGCATGGCAGGGTAGCTGCTGAGTTGCAGCTGATGCCACTGTCGGCACCCAAGGGTGAATTCCAGTGCTGGGACTCTGGGGTAGTCAGACACTTGTGCCCAGGTCCTCAGCCTAGGCTGCTTGCTGAAGGACTGCTTGCATGATTTTTTGGCTTTTTGCTTACTAGACATCTCCTCATCCTCTCCCAGAAGCAGGAAAAGGCGTCTTCCCCTGAGACTTGACTCCAGGCCTATCAGATGCTGATGTAGTCACCTTCAGTTACGCAGGTTTCCCGTTACAGCAACTCTTACTGTACTTTAGTAGCAAATTTGCCAGAATGGCCAGGTTCAGTGACTTACCCCAAAGAAGTAAATACCTATCAGAGCCTTCTGATGAGAAGATTGTTTGGTTTTAATCTTTTCTCCTAATGAGGTGTTGCTTGAAGTTACCAGGATGGAGTGCTGTGTTTCCTGTCTGCACTAAGAAGAGCCTAAGTTAATGCAAGGAAAATCATCCTTTTCTTTCCATCTGTTAGGTTCCTGTCTGCTCTTTAAAACTTATCTAGTGTAGGCCCTCACCACAGTAGCTTGGTGGGACACTGCAGAAACCTGCTACTGACCTTGGTGGCACTGCAGCAAATGACCCCAGACAGGCAAGATCCTGAGCAAACTGAAACAGGCTAGTTTTCCTAAAGGAGTTTTAGGATTGGCAGGACTGTGCCACCGTTTTTTTGCAATAAATAAACTTTTCTTGTTGCTGTAGCAGAATATAATAATGAATCTTACTGCTAAAGAGGAAAGCATGAATGTGCAAGTAGGCAGATGAGGATAAATGCAAAGTGAAGTTAAATTTGTTATCTGGTGCTGTGATGCACTCATAAGGAAGATGTTCTTATTTTGCCCACCGGATACCTCGTTCTGAAACAGGTATTTCTAGATGGTGTGAATCAACTTCTTTCATAGGCATCTCAAACTTAGCAATAGCATTAGGTCCAATGGCCTGCCACTGCCTTTTGCATCACATTCAAAACTGCTTCTGCCTCAAGATCCTGGAGCAAGGACCTGCTTGCCAGGACCTGCCTTGTGTGCAACTCCCACAGGCCTTGCTTGTGGTGGTGCCACGTCTGTCTGTTCTTCCATGACAGCTGGATGATACTACAAGTCCATCTTTCTTTGCTTTTGGGCACAGTTCCTTTATTGTTCACTATTTCTGTTCTACAGTATCTAAGTAGTGACAGATATACGTGCAAAACAGCAAACAATAATTTCTAACATGCCCCTGGTAACCAGCATAGTGGTGTCCCTGGAGCATTGCACAATATGGGGTCAGAGAGAGAAGTTCTAGGGTTAGCAGAAAGTTGTAAATGTGCTAATGAAGAATCAACGTACCTTGTGAAGGAGCCTCCCAAGTATTGCTGCATTTGCACCACATATGCTCAGTGCATAGGAGAGGAGTGAGGGAGAAGTTAATCTGCCAGTGCCTGAATAAGGGGAAAGATGTGCAGGCACATACTAGGTACATCCTCTCTTCTTTTTCTACCCCTCTGCCTTGTTTTAGCTCCTATTTAACTGTCTATACTTTTTAAAATGCAGATTTTTAAAAGATCTTTTAGGGGAAAAACTCCAATGAAATGGTTTTGTCCAGAGAAATACTGTGCCACATGAGTGCTTCTTGCTGCCACTACAGGATGAAATTTCTGACCCATTTTTCCACCTCATAGGATCCAGGTCATTAGACATTCAGCTGAGCAGAGGAGGGAAGGAGACAAGTCTTGGTTGTTTTGGGGGGTTAGAAAATACCAATTTTGCTACACTCTCAAGTGTCCATCATCTCAATTGAAAGTAATTTTTCTCCACTCTTGCTTTATTCATGGATAAAAAACCACTTCCAGAGTTCTTATCTTTGGCTCTTTTTCATGATGGCAAAACTTTTTTCGGAAGCCAGACTCTTTGTGGAATGAGAATACTATTTTCTGCCTATCTCTTCTCTGAGTTAGTTTAGCTGTGCTGGGGTGTTGCATGCACTCTTTACCTGTGAAACTGATGCTGCCCTTCCAGATTCCCACAATGCATGCAACACTTCATTTGTAAGTGAGTCATAGGCTCTCACATAAAGTCCAATTTCTTTTTGTTGTACTCCTTGGCTCCTTGTCAACAAGTCAAGTTGAATGGGCAGACAGGGGTGGAGGGGGAAGGTTCTCTTGTGCAGCACCATTCAGAAAAAGAGGTTAAAACCTGCTTCCTTTTTTGACCACGATGGCTCTTGGCCAGGATTTTCAACAGGGAACAGAGAGCCCAGGGCATCCCAGAAAACTCTCATACAGCTGCCAGACTGCTCAGGAGCGGCCTGTGTGGACAGTTGCAGTTGGAGAGAGCGAAGGTCTCTGGAGAGTGCTCAATGTGCAGTGCAAAAAGCTGGTGTTCTCATTCTTCCGAATGTGCCGTCAAGCTAACTGCTTCCGTATCAGTGCTGCTCCTGCTATTTGGGTAGGATTGTTGCAACCTGGCACAGTAATGGGGGATCCCTCAGCATCTGGTGTCAGGAACATGAGTTGCTCAGGAGGGGCAAAGCTGGAGATGATGCTGAATCCTTTACAGAGGTTTCTCTTTGACCAGTACTGGAAAGAGCAAGTTTTCTTGGAAATAACAAGTGTTCTCTAGAATCAGGGAATGATCTGGGGGGACAAGGGGGTGGTGTTTTCTTGGTGGTTTTTAGGAATTTGGAGTAAAGAGATCATAGTAATTTCGAGTTCTAAAGGTTCTGTGATAATCAGTACATAAGAAAGTCTGCACTTTAGGATATGCTAATCCTTACACTTTCACACTAGAGACAGACACTGTGGCTTCCTCTTGGTCACAGAAAATTGAAGTTGAGTATTATCAGTTCTTGAGCAGGAGCATAAACTACATGGAAGGAGTGTGTGTGACAGGTTGCAATTATTAAAGGCTTTCTAAAGGCTTTCCATCTGTACTGTCACAGTAGCTCCCTAGGGAGTTTGTCTGTGAATAGTGGTAGCTCTGAGGAGCCTTTTGGGTCTCAAGACTGCCACCAGATAGGAGGATGAAAGGCTCTTATTCCGTCTCCACTGCTGCATCTCCCCAAAATGCAGATAGAGGAGTTAGGCTGCTGCTGTGGGTTTTAGTGGTGGTGGTGGTTTGTAGGCATTAGCAAGGGACCTTGAGATAGAGAAAAGACTTTGCTTGACTTACTGTGTTGCATTCCAGCAGAACATAAAGCAAGCTTCAGGGGGAAGGGCGATGCCTCCACTTGCTCCATAAGGGTTTCCTTTGGGGATAGGAGACTTTGCCAGCATCTCCTTTTCCGTTCCTGTGACTGAGGATGGCCCGTGCCTATCACTTCAAAATCACATTTTATTCCCTGCCAAAGACATGCTCTCCATGGAACTTGAAAATGTTATAGGATATAAATGCCAGAAGGGAGATGAGGAATGATGTTACTGCCAGTTTCCAGTGGGCAGCTATTAAAGGCCCTCTGGCAAGTATGAAAAGAGTGAGGGGCTAATATAGGTATTAGAGCCACAGTTTCCCCAGTTTGGTAAATGAAGCTGCACTGTCAGTAGCTGATGTTTGCCAGGATGTCCATATGAGTGTCGTAATGAAAACTGTTTCACGTGAAACCAAAACATCGCATGCACCAATCTTCTTTCTCCATTCCTTACCTCACACCTAGCAAAATTCTTCACAATGGCCTTTTATTTACATCCTACTTA